CTCGTTAGAACTGAAGTAATATGTTATAACCACCTTCTCTTCGGAGTCGTTTAGCTCGTTAGAGCTGAAGTAATTTGTTATAACCACCTTATTTTTGGAGTCGTTTAACTCGTCAGAGATGAAGTAATTTGTTATAACCACCTTCTCTTCGGAGTCGTTTAGCTCGTTAGAGCTGAAGTAATTTGTTATAACCACCTTCTTTTTGGAGTCGTTTAACTCGTCAGAGATGAAGTAATTTGTTATAACCACCTTCTCTTCGGAGTCGTTTAACTCGTCAGAGATGAAGTAATTTGTTAGAACCACCTTCTCTTCGGAGTCGTTTAACTCGTCAGAGATGAAATAATTTGTTAGAACCACATTCTCTTCGGAGTCGTTTAACTCGTCAGAGATGAAGTAATTTGTTATAACCACCTTCTCTTCGGAGTCGTTTAGCTCGTCAAAGACATACATTTAATGTTTTTCAATTAATTTAAACCTGAACAAACGTTTCGTTTTTCATACATAGATATAAATCATGTCTGTAGATGCTTTCCCATACTTCTAAGCGAAGTTAGCAAATAGCACTTAAAATGAACCTTCAACATCACAATAAGTACAAACACAGGTTTACGTACTCTGTATATAACTCACTAAAAACGACTTTTCACCACATCTCGTCTTCTTGCTTTCTTTTTCAAGATACAACTTATTCCATCCAATATGTTTTCCTCAGAAACTACCCTTGGCGTTCCAACATTCTTTTTCAAAACATTAAAAAGAAATTACGTTGACTTCTCCATTTTAAATAACAAAATGATTCCAATTACAATTCATAATAGAAACTTTGTCTGAAATATTTCGAAAGTTTCTGAGTTCCTGAACACGGAGTAACCGATAAGTGTCTGTTAGAACCCGACAATGATTCCATACGTCTCAAAGGTCGACATCAAAATATATAAGAGCCATAGACTAATAAAGAACAGTGTAGTCGGTAATTTGTACTTCTTAGTGCCTCCGAGTTCACCTCCGACGGTTCTGTGGCGTCGCAACATAAGAATGAGTGAGACTGTAAAGGCACAAACACAAAAGAGTGTTACAGAAAATGCCAGACTGCCAGGATTAACTGAAAACGATGTACCCTTGATGGCATGGTAAATTGCTGCTAGCGACCAGGCGATTCCGATACCAAGAAACACGTTAACGGCGTTACTACCGGTTACATTCCCAATGGAAGAATCGGCGTATTTATCATTGACAGCTGCCACTTTGCTAGCAAAAGTATCTGAAAAAAAAAGAGAGAAAAATTTCGTTGTTTTAGTTTAATGTATAAAAATGCTATATATATTTCAAGAGGATAAATGGAACAATTACATATGAACATGCATACATGATAAGGTATAGTCTACGCTTGTTAGGCTTACTCACTGAGCACTATAGAATGCGATCTGGAAAGACTGCAGTCATTTACGGGTGTGTCAGTCGTGCGCCATTTTGTCGGAGGTATAAGTGCCGGAAGACTGCCATATAAATGTTGTACATTTGGGTGCTCAAACGTTTTTCAAAAGAGGGATACATCGGTCTCATTTTTTTGGTTTCTAAATGTTGATAATTTTACATATTTTAAAATTGAAATTAATCGTAAGCGGTGAACATTTTAATAAATTCCCAGCAGTTGAAGTATTGCTACAGAAGTAAAATATGATGACAGAATGTATGACCATGTAGGCCTAACTAATGAGTTTAGAAACGACAGATTGTTAATGCTGGGAAAAACTATGCTCTGTTAATATGTTAACCTTCAACATATTTGTAATCATAAATAGTTTATGGTACAATTTCTGCTTTGTTCAGAAACAATCTTTATTTTTTTTTTGGAAGTAATTCGGACTTAGAAATATCTCTTTTCCTTCTAGGTTTCCATTGCAAGATAAACATTTATTAAAGAAATGAACAATTGCTATATCTAGAGAGAATTGGACTCAAACTAACTATTCGCGTATGTAGCGAGCATTTCACTGCATTAAGTTTTCAGGCACGTAGGGTATAATAAATTGAGGCATTATTTCTTTAGTATCCAAACTATTATAGAAGTTCACATATCATCCTTTCTTTTCAAGTTATATATGTGTAATAATTATTAACAAGCGACTGGGTTTGGAGACAACTTTCACTGGTAAAATAACAATGATAACATGCATGTATTAATTACTATCATCAGTATTTTGTAGTAAAATAACTAAAAATAGTATACAAGTCAATATAAAAATAGTAAGTAACACATTGCTTCAAGATTTTCATGTAATGCCAGTTGAATTGTGAAAGATATATTGTAATAGGCGCATCCAGATGTAGCTTGGGGGAACTTGAAAAATAATGCTGTGCCATCAATATTTCCTTAATTTCCCACTCATCTTCAAAGTGTGAAATCGAAGAGGAAGTCTCCAGTGAAGAGGAAATTAGAAGAACTTCAGCCTGAAGTGCTTTATTAAATTTGTCAAATTTTCAAAATTTTATGATGTTTTAACAACTGTTGCAAATATTTAAAAAATGCTACTTAATTTTGATTCACAGCTTTAATCTTGGAGCAAATAGTTATCTTCAGTAATTGGCTATAAAACCAACTACATCTATATTTATAAGTGCACTGGATGCACACTTATGCTAAGGTATCTTCTGAGGAACCATGTTCCAGCACAGCAGTGAAAGAGGAGATGCCTAATGGCACCTTTTGAATCCTCCAGTAACTTGTTTCCTCACAAAACGGTTGCTTCAAAAGAAGATTACATTAATGAGAAAGAACATGTGAGGAGGCGAGATAAAAAATTATCTACCAAGGAAGAGCTCATCAAAAAGGTGAAAGAGCAAGGTTTAAATGAAAGTGGTTATAAAGACATTAGAAATGCTTTTCCTAATGCCGTGAAAATTTTGATACAGGATCCTCTGAGAAATAGAGAAGTGAATCAATGTGGTAGACATTACTCAGAAGAGGTGAAATAAGTGACCATATATTTTCATTCTCCAAAAGTTTACGTATATCTGCGTCAGGTGTTTGGATTATCTTATCCTTAATGATTAGGTGCTTGAAATACTTTTGTAAATTGTAAACTAGGTTTTTGAGAAGAAGTGTTTCAAAGTTTAAAAGAAAAAGAACTAATATGCGAAAAATTATATTTTAGTAATTGACTCCATGGTTTTGCGAATACCAACTGAGTGGAGGGAATATTCTGCAGAGCTTCACCAAGACAATCTTGTTCAAAAATGTGTAAATGAAATACGTATGAGTACTTTTCACCCTTTGGAGAGTTCCAAAATTCGTCATTTATGACTGACAATTTTCAGACAAAAAAGGGATGTATTTCTTACATGATATTCTAATGTACTTGTCACTGTGCAGCAGAACCAAAACAGCTGGTTCCGTTGTTTTGTTTTCATGGCCATGTGGTTAGGGCGCTCAACTCGCAATCTGAGAGTCGCGGGTTCGAATCCCTGTCACACCAAACATGCTCGCCCTTTCAGCCGTGGGGACATTATAATGTGAAGGGTCAATCCCACTATTCGTTGGTAAAAGAGTAGCCTAAGAGTTGGTGGAAGATGGTGATGACTAGTTGCCTTCCCTCTAGTCTCACACTGCTAAATTAGGGACAGCTAGTGCAGATAGCCCTCGTGTAGCTTTGCGCGAAATGCAAAAACAAATAAACAATATCAATATTTTTGTAGCTTTATTGAAATTAAATGTTTATTTCTGCAGTCACTTTTACTGTTCGTGAAATACCTGTACATGAACATCCAAATATTCATTTCATCTACAAAACTAAATAAGTTGTCAAGTATATTCGACATTGTTGTTTGTGTATTTTACTGTGAAATCCCTTCATGGGCTATTAAATGGTCGATACTTTTTATTTATTTTGATATTACAGATGGTTATTTAAAAATAATGTCTTTAATTTGAATCATGAATTTTAGATGAAGAGAACGCTGAATTAAACATTTTAAACTGGCTGGGTGTCAAAACTCGTGCCACCAGGTGACACAGTAGTAAATTTTAGAACTTATTGTGCTTCTCTGAATGTTAGTATTCACCATAGCAAATATTCATGACGTTGTTCTGACACTTTGACATTAGGCTTACGCTATATATATCTGTAATTGTTAGTTGCTAATTAACAATATTTGTGAACGTGTTGGAAAGTTAAACTGTAGCATGCACAAATTCGTCTTGTACGCATTCCGAGCCATTATTCTTGTATAGATACCATACCTTTGGCAAGATGACGGTAACACAGGCGCGGACAGTTTATTTACAGACAACTGTTACTAGTGTCTCCAGTTACTACATGTATACAGCTGAACGAGTGTACTGTATTCCTGGTTCACCAGTTCAGCTGAATAACGAGAGAGTTAATTGAGAAATATAATAATTAATAACCTGTGTTGTTAAAATAAATAATACAATTTTAAATAATCCTTCTTATAATTCTGATATCTTGTGACATAAATAAAGATTATGCAAAAATTACATTTCACCAACTTGATCCGGTTCACACCCTAACGGTTGTTATCAAGTATTTTCTTAATATAAATAACGTCTAAATTACATTAGTGTCTTTTTTTTACCCCAGGTTGCATGAAGACCAACGTGAAAAGAAGGTATAGTGTAGTTGACGTGTTATTACATCTTGCTCACATTCACTCAGAAGATCTTATTAAAAAAATATTCATTAATTCGTATTAATTCAAACAGTTAAACTATATTTTATATCACACATTCCATGTGAAGATACAGAACGAAGAAACTGTCAGGTTCTAATGAAGAAAGGTGGTAGAGAGAAGGAGGGAGACTGTACTTTCGAAGTAGTCATGTTATAGAATTTGAAAATCGCTTGATCTTTTGGCATCTTCCTATCGCAGAACACAAGGAACTTGTTCTCTTAAACTATAGAAACGATAGAGGAGTGCAGGTATTGGCATTTCTCTTTTACAAAAATGAATACATTTTACGAACCGACTAGATGATATAT